TGTGTGTGTGTGTGTGTGTGTGTGTGTGTGTTATACAAAGTTAGCTGTAGTGGCAATCTTGAACTCTAAAATCAGTTGTAAATATTAATTTAAGTTTCATCAACATCCATCCAGTGTCTCATGAGATATTTTGCTAACAGACAGGAAGCCAGATTTCATGCCTAAATGATGACATTTCTAAATACATTTTGTGTGATATTTAGGGCTCARAATATGTATTAGGAATCAGTCTCGGCTGCTATCACAACAAATTTCAGGCTAAAATCTGTAAGAATTGGTTGAGTTACATCCATTTTTGTTGTTTTTAGGGTCAGTTGGCTGTAGCAGCCATCTTGAATCAGGCTCCAAAAGTTAATGACTATTAGTATTTCAGATGTTTACTTCCTGCAAGTTTATTTGCCTATGAGTCCATGAGATATTTTGCTAACAGACAGGCACGAGTCACCATTGTCCTCTGTATACAGTGCCTGGTTTGAGGCAGACATTTAAATCTTACGTTGATCATTCTAGTATATTGTGCATATTTTGTTTTAAAGTACTGTATATATTTTTATKCCCTAGTTTCATCTGACGGAGGAAGAGGCTGATGGAAGTGGATGATGAGCCCCCTCAGACCACTCGCTGTGACACAAGATGGTCACAGCGACTGTCGGGACTTCCTCACAAGCTCCTGCAGCGCCTCATGCCTTTCCAACAGGAGGGAGTGGAGTTTGCTTTGTCCAGAAACGGACGGTGAGCAAATTATTCTCCTTGAAACACATTTGAAGCTAAAAACTGGAGTTCATTCAGTCAGACGGCTAAGAACACATACCCAAAAKACTTTAATTGTATTTTAGACCAAGGTTCTCTAAACAAAACTCAAAGGGTCTTATTATGTCATATCTTCTACATAAAACATAGCAGAAAGCAAAAAAAAATTCACATGCGTGAACATGAGTTTTCTGCCTGTCATGCGTTATGCATTTCTAAAATATAACTCATGTTTACACTACAGCTGTTTGAGGCTTACGTTTTAGTCAGCATTTCTGCCTTCCTCACGTAATGGGTGTGGTTACCATGTGGYGACCACATCGAGGCACTGGTTTTGGTTTTACAATTTGTTTTGATCTTAAACTTATAGTGATTTTTCTCTTTAAAACCTGAAGTCTTTATGGACTGGAACTAGGCAGGTCTCATTAAAGGTTTCCCAATTAAAAAAAAAAGAAATTCAACATGTCTAACACGCCTAATTGTTTTCCTCTTTTGTAGTTTCTTTCACATTTTATTTAAAATTTTGCATACTTTTTGCTGTTTTAACCACTTTTGACAAAAGGCTTTATGACTTTATGCAACAATATAGTACATGAATTTAAAACTTTTAAACATAACCTAAATAATGTCAATGTTTACTGGTGAATGCAGTGATAAAACTCACTGAAGGGTAATTTTACCCTTTATAAAATGTTACATTCAATTTAATGCAATTTATTTTCATATTTGATCATTACATTTTTCACAGTACATTTACGTCACAGTCTGGTTCCAAATATAAATAAGCTCAACAAATCCAAACATCACAAACTGTGTTTGTATGGTTATATTACTGTGTAAAATTGAAATTTGCAGAAATGTATTACAAACTACAATCACTTGAAGGTGACTCTCAGAATGTTTAAAAAAAACAGTAGTTTAGGCAACAAAACAAACCCTTTAGTGTTTAATATTGTTTAATTCTAATAATTAATACAGCAGAAACGTCGAGTCGTGCTGAGAGACACTCGAACAGGCTGAGTGCTCATACAGTGGTGGAGTTTGGACACGTGCAAGTCTGTGATGATGATGATGATGCTCTGGGTGCATCAGCACTTAATAAAATATTAGATTTGACCGGGAAGTTCGGGGCTCAGAGGGTGACGATGTATTGGCTTTGGCTGCAGTGACTTGGTTGGGTGTGAACACGTATACTGTATTTATTCGTGTGTAATACAATCTCATGTATAATACGACCCCCCCCCACCC